AAACAGGAGTAGGGTGGGGGAAATCATCTCAGGCCTTACCTTATCTTCTTCCATGAAGTACATACACAGAAAAGTACACAGATCATAAGTGTACCACCTGCTGCATCAGGACACTCATGCAACCAGTATGCAGGTTAAGAAACTCCCTCAGGTGTGCCCCTCGCGCTTCCTTTCAGTCACTCCTACCCCGGCAGGAACCACTATCCTTTTTTTTTTTTTTTTTTTAAGACAGTCTGTCACCCAGGCTGGAGTGCAATGGCGCAGTCTTGACTCACTGCAACCTCCACCTCCTGGGTTCAAGTTATTCTCCTGCCTCAGCCTCCAAAATAGCTGGTATTATAGGCATGTGCCACCATGCCTGCCTAATTTTTTGTATTTTTAGTAGAAACGGAGTTTCACCATGTTGGCCAGGCTGGTCTTGAACTCCTGACCTCAAGTAATCTACCCGCTTTGGCCTCCCAAAGTACTGGGATTACAGATGTGAGCCACTGCGCCTGATTTTTTGGGTTTTTTTATTTTTTTTGAGACGGAGTTTCACTCTGTTGCCCAGGCTGGAGTGCAGTGGTGCAATCTCAGCTCACTGCCATCTCTACCTCCTGGGTTTAAGCGATTCTCGTGCCTCAGCCTCCCGAGTAGCTGGGATTACAGGTGCACAGCACCACACCTGGCTAATTTTTGTATTTTTAGTAGAGACGGGGTTTTGCCATGTTGGCCAGGCTGGTCTCAAACTCCCGGCCTCAAGTGATCCACCAACCTCGGCCTCCCAAAGTGCTGGGATTACAGGCGTGAGCCACCACACCTGGCCACTCTCCTGACTTCTAACCAGTAGATTGGTTTTGTCTGTTTGGCACTTTCTGTAAATGGAATCATATGGCATGTATGCCTGCAGGCATGCACACAGATATAAATGTACAAACTCTTTTGAATCTGCCTTCTTATGTTTGTGACATTCATCCATATTGTTATATGTAGTTACAGATCATTCATTCTTGTTGCTGTAACGGAATTTATTTGGTGATTCCTTTCTACTGTTGGGCATTTGAGTCCTTTCTAATGTTGCCTGTTATGAGTAGTGTTACTAGATCTTCCTAGTATGTGGCTTTTGGTGCATGTATGCATGTATTTCTGTTGGTTATGCCTAGGAGGGGAATTAATGGTTCATATAGCCTGCACATTTCTGATTTAGCAGACATTTTGGGCCTTATCTCTCATAGATGCAAACTTACCATCTGCCCGGAGTACCCAGCTTACATTCATCAAAATTGAATAGTCCCCTGTTGCAACACTAGTTTTAACAGGTTCTACTCGGAGGTCCCTCAAGTCTCCAGGGGTTAGATCATGTTGTAGCATCCACTCTGGAGACGGCCCTGGGAAAAGGCAAGACTTCCATGACACTCTCCTTCCCGGCCCAATCTGATGCCATGCCATCTCCTCTCAGTGACTCACCCCAAACCTTCCCCCATTCACAATTCCTCACTTCTTTTTTTTTTTTTAATTAAAAAAATTGTTTTTTTGTAGAAGTGGGGTCTCACTCTGTTGCCTAAAATGATCTCAAACTCCTAGCCTCAAATGATCCTCCCGCCTCAGCCTCCCAAAGTGCTGGGATTATAGGTATAAACCACCACGCCCGACACAATTCCTCAGTTCTTCCTGCTAAGGCCAAATATTTCTTAGTGCTGGTTGATTTATAGCTGAGATAATGTTGCTCTAAGAGAAGTACTCTCAGCCTCCTGGCCTCCACCTATGGAGCACTTGGGACCACTCCAGGTGCCTGTGTATGTACATATGTATATATTTAGTGTATTTGACATGTTTATTAGAGTCAGCCCTGCCTTCCTCAGGCCTCGCCCCTGGATTCCAGCCAGTTGGCCCACACAACCCCCACTTTCCCACCTCATAACCTTTGCTGGTGCCATCTCTCCTCCAGCTCACTCTCCCCACTCACATTTTTTGGGCAGAAGCCCATTCTTCAAATGTCACCATCTCAAACCCCCACTCTCCTATGAAACATTTGCTTCTTGGTCCCAACTCTAAGTGACCTGCCTTTCATGGCCTCGATCTTCCTCTGCAGAGTGGCAGGCATCACTTTCCACCTTATATGGCAAGTCCTACCCTGACTGGCCAGGAGGCGAGCCTGTCTGAAACACATCTTCATTCCCACAGAGCCCCAGAGTTCTGCTTTGAGCAGACAGAGACTTCATCTGCAACAGCCAATAAAGCAATGGTTCACCCTGTGCCTGGTCTTCAATGACCTATTGCCTATATTAGGCCTCCTAAAAGTCCAGCTGTGCTTTCAATGTAAAGCCCCAAATACCCATTCTCTAATGTACCTACCAGTTTCAGAGCCACACTGAACGGTCTGTGGGAGAGAAGAAAACCAAGCGTCATGTTGAAGCCGGCAAACCACAAGCTCTCCTTTGCCAAATTAGGTAGAACACCATTTTCCCCTTACATGCATACACAAGTGACAAACTTTCAATAAAAGATGAACTGGTTCTGCTTCACAGCTTAGGGGGAAACTAAGCTGTGCCACTGTAGGCCATGATGGGCCATGGATTAGCCATCAGTATACCTGATCCCCAAGCCAGTGCATAACCTCACTTGAAGACCAGAGGTGGGTCTCCATCCATCTCTGGATGTCAGCCTTCCCTGCTGCAAGCAGGAGATGACTTGGGACCGATGTGAGGCCCCTTCACACTCTAATGTTTAACTCTAGGATTTTAGGATGGCCTGGAGTATTTACTGGGCTACCCCAGGTTAAGGAGTAGTTATGCTAAGGAGATGAACAAAAGCAAGCTCTGAATGCAGTCTAGGGTACTTTCCTCAGGTTCTTTAAAATATTCCCCTTCTAACACAAAAGGACTCACTGAGCAATTAAAGAAACCATAAGCAATTATTTGTGTTCAAGAAAGGCTGGTACTAAATCGTTTGAAGTTAGCTGCTCATGTTTTTTCATAAGAAAAAATAATTTGTGCTTTGGTTCTGGAATAAATTACTCAACCTAAAATACTGAGGCTTTAGCCAGCAGCAAGCTCAAATGACAAGACTCATTGTGATATGTCCAGCAGCTCTGCAACACCCTGCGGAGCACCTACATTTCCAAACACCTTCTAAGACCTCCTAAGACTTTTGATGGTTTGAGTGACTTGAGTTTGGGCAAAATTGTCAATCATTTATTCAGCTTTAAAAAAATGAACTCTAAGGGATATCATCAGATTTTTTTTTTTCTTTTTTTGAGACAGAGTCTCACTTTGTCGCCCAGGCTGGAGTGCAGTGGCGCAGATCTCGGCTCACTGCAACCTCCAGCTCCCAGGTTCAAGTGATTCTCCTGCCTCAGCCTCCTGAGTAGCTGGGATTACAGACGCCTGCCACCATGCCCAGCTATTTTTTGTATTTTTAGTAGAGACAGGGTTTCACCATGTTAGCCAGGCTGGTCCTGAACTCCTGACCTCAGGCAATCCGGCTGCCTCAGCCCCCCAGAGTGCTGGGATTACAGGCGTGAGCCACTGCACCCGGCCAGACTTTATTATTATTATTATTATTATTATTTTAAACAAATAAGCCATCATACCAGGAGCTGAGTTCTTATCAAAGGGCCGGTGAGACCAGCCAAGCAACAACCCTAAATGCTACCAAGCTCAAATTGTTGGCCTTGTAGCAACTACAGCAAAAGGGATGAATTCTTCCCTGCAGTGCAAAAAGTCAAGGGGGCTTCTGAAGTGACACAGAGGGGAAGGACAGGAGCTGGAGACATCAGGAAACGGTGAATGGGGTTTGTCCACCAGCAGGTGACTACGGAGCTTGATGCTATATGCTATTCTAAGAGGGCAGGGGTATCATTTCAAAGGTTATTTGGGGGACGAACTGTTTTCTCTTCAGTGACCCAGAAGATTCCCTCGATCATTCAGGGCACTGGGGAAGAAAGGAAACTGTCTTCACGAATGAACTTGGCAATCAATATGGCCAAAAAGGGAGGGGGTGCTAATGGAGAAACAGTTCTTGTGCCCCAACAGGTGAGCAGACCCCAAGTAACAATAACGAGTGCTGACTACGTGCCAGGCCCTTCGCCGCTAATTGCTGGCCATGTCGTTATTCCTTAAGAGACCGTGGTGGGTTCGGTACTGCCCTTCGTTTTACCGTTCAGGACTTGGAGTTTGGTGAGCAGAAATGACAGAACCAACAGTACAGGGGGCATCTGAGACCGGGTCTGTCTGATTCCCACTCCCCTGACTCAAGCAGCCTGACACCGATGTCCGGGGCTGCCCCCGAGGGTGCAGGCATGCCCCTCGAGCCGGCGGTTCGCGCACGCCTTCGGGACAGCCTGGAGTGGCGGGTCAGACGACGTCAGGATCTGGGCTCGAGTGCCGGGAGATGGGGTAAGGGGTGCTGGAGGGGGCTTACCGGCTCTCGGGGTACGGCGCTCCTGCACAGCGCGGCCAGGGTCAGCAGCACGAGCGACATCGCCGGACCACCGCGCTGGCTCCAGGCTACCCGCACGCTGCGCTCTTATCCCGGCGCTCCGGGGCCGCCCCTTCTCGGCTCCGCCTCTTGCAGCGCGGACCCAGTCCCGCCACCCTGACAGAGGGCGGGCCCGCTGGCTCCCTCCCCGGCTGGGGCAGGTCGCAGCGCCCTCGCCTGCCGGGACTCGGAGGAATGGGCCGAGTCCGAGCGCAGGCGGAGCACCGGCAGCCGCGGCGCGCGCCGGCCCCCGCGCACACGTGCGTGCAGTAAGCCAGGTGCCCCTGCTGCACCCGCCCTCGGGCTGCGCGCCCCCCCGCAGGAGCCCAGCTAGCCTCGCCGCACTGGGGCCGACCTGGTCGGAACGGCCGCGTGCCCCTTCCGGACACGGAGAGCGCGCGGGGCCCCGGCGCCGCCGGTTAAAGTGCCGCGGGACAGGGGCCGGGCCGCGGCCACCCGCTCCTCCCGCTCTGGCCTCGACTGTCGGGCCCTCGGCCGAGTCGCCCCGGGTGAGTAGCCGCGGACGCGCCCCGACGACGCCGCAGCAGCACAGCCGGGCCGGGAGCCCGGAGAGGCCTGGGGGCAGGAGGTTTGGGGCCAGGCTGGACGCCGAGACCCGGGCCCGCTTTACACAATCGCCCAGCCCCGCGAAGCGAAATGGGTGGAACGCGGACTGCCGAAGCTCACTGACTCCTTTGAAGGAGCGAGTTCTTTCAGCTACGCGGTGTTAGAGCGGTAGGAGTGCCCGCTGCCCGACCCCAGGCTTTCTGGTAAATGTCTGTTTCCACCAAGTGAGTTCGGACAGCAGCACCTGGGGCTCCCAAAGCGGAAGCCGTCAGCACTGGCGATTTGGAGCAGCGCTTCTCAAATTTCCCTGGCCCGGGATCTTTGAGCACCGCCTAAAATGAGATCCAGACGGCAGGTCCGGGTCAGGCCCGGGATCTGCATTTAACGAGCTTCCACCCACGCCCCCGTAATTCGTGGGTGGGTGGCCCAGGGACCATCCTTTGAGACACAGTGGTTTGGGGGAAAGTTCACAAAGATCAGCTGGGCTAACAGTGGAGCCACAGAGGCTGGAACTGCTGCTTCAGCCCCCTCGGTTTGCAAACGACAGGGTTGTGGTGACCAACTCAGGGCCATTTAAACTTGTAGGCAGAATTAGCTCCATTCTACAAATGAGAAGACGGAGTCCTAGAGAGGGGTATGGAACTTAGGGATGTGTTGTCAGCTGGTGAGAGGTTGTACTGAGTCAAGCAGCTGTTTTAGCTGAGGCCCTACTTGTGTGCCAGGCCTGGCCCCCCTGCCAGCTTGGTTACGGCTTGCATGGACTGGGGATCAGCCAGAGGTTTGGGCTCTGGCATGCATACGTGTGGAGTTGCAGGTAGCATTTTCAGAGAATTGCTCCGGTTCCTGACCAGGGAACTCAGTTGAGGTTGTGGCCGCACCCCTGCCTGGGGCTGGGCCACCCTGAGCCCCTCATTCCACCTCTCTGAGTTGCTTTGGGCCCTGTGGCCCCTGAGAACATTTTCAGCTCTAATAGTCATCTTCCTGTTCAGCAAATACGTGCTGGGTGCAAAGGTGCATGACACATGGGTGCTGGCTGATGGGTACTCCTGGAGTGAGGACGAGTGCAGTGAGAAGTATTTTCAAGGACACAAGTGCCCGCCCTGCTGCGGAAGCTCAGCTGAAAACAGCCTGGTCTGCAAGCTCACGATTGTGAACTTTGGCCGGGCGCGGTGGCTCAAGCCTGTAATCCCAGCACTTTGGGAGGCCGAGACGGGCGGATCACGAGGTCAGGAGATCCAGACCATCCTGGCTAACACGGTGAAACCCCGTCTCTACTAAAAACTACAGAAAACTAGCCGGGCGAGGTGGCGGGCGCCTGTAGTCCCAGCTACTCGGGAGGCTGAGGCAGGAGAATGGCGTAAACCTGGGAGGCGGAGCTTGCAGTGAGCTGAGATCCGGCCACTGCACTCCGGCCTGAGCCACAGAGCGAGACTCCGTCTCAAAAAAAAAAAAAAAAAAAAAGATTGTGAACTTTGTCCCATGGTGCTGAGGAATAATGGTACAGGCTTAGATGGCCATCAATTTTCAGTTTTACAAAGGCCACCTGGGTGGCTCTGAAGGGCAAGTAGAGGGCTCGTCCGTCTGAGACGAAGGAGCAGGCAGCCCTTCACTAACATGCGTTCATTCCGTATCTGATTCTGTACTGTGGGCCAGGTTCTGGGCTGTGCTGGCTTTTCAGCTGTGTGCCAGGGCAGGCCCTGCTGTGGTGAGCTTGGTGTTGTTTGGCACACGGGCTTTGAGACAACCAGGGGTGCAGAGGTTAGGCCTGGAGACAGGGTTCGTCAGTCAGACTTTCTCAGGGGGCAGTGGAGAGGAGAGGAGGATAGAGCCCTGGGGAGGAGGGCTTGCTGGAGGAGGTAGGGAGGTCTAGGAGGGGCTGCAGCAGGAATGCCCAGTAGTGAGGGAGGAGCTCATGGGGTCAGATGGAGCAGAGAGACCAAGGGCACTGAGGCTGGCTGGTGGCAGTCACAGGTAGCCTTGGCAAGAGGAAAGGGGAGGTGGTTTTGTAAAAAGAGAAGGGCCGAGGTTCTTTCTCCAGGGGAAGAAGTGTCAGGTGAGGGTGGTCTGGAGGTGGCTGAGCTGTGAGTAAGAAGGAGGAGTACTCAGGCAGGGGCTGCCAGGCAGACCCAAGACACAGCCCAAGTGGCTTTCCTGCTGTCCTGGGTTCAGGATGACACTGCCCTGGCCCCCTGGGGCTTAGGGATGGGGTGAAACCTGGTTCAGTTCCATAGTTGGGGCTGTGGAGTGGAGGAGAGGGTGTGACAGGCCTTGCAGCCACAACTGGAGGTTGAGGTGGGCAAACAGGGTGTGTCCGCCTGTCTCCTGGGGGGTTCCCCCTGCCCCGCTCGCTCAGAAGGCCATGCCTCAAGTAGTCCTGCATGAAAGGTCCCAGGTGGCCTGCTGGAAGGGACACAATTTATTTGGGTGCCTAAGCCTGATAACTTTGTGGCTTTTTGAACTAGAGGCTCTGGCAAGTCACTGCTCTTCTCAGAGTAGTTTCCTTTTCTGTAAAATGGGGTGGTGATAGGAGCGATGAAGTGATTTGAGTCTATAAGAGAAGCAACCTTTGGAGATTTTCTGACCTTCTCCCTTCAGTCATAAATTCTGCTAGGTCTGGGTTTCTGAAAGAGCGACCAGACAGTGTGCCTTCCTGTGCGGGCGGGGGGTGGGGGGGCGTTCTAGGTGCTCATTAAGTGCTTGAATGGATGAATAAATTAATTAACACCTACCTTCCTCCAAGGCCAGTGCCTGTGACTGCCCACCCAGGGTAGCTGGTTTGAACTTCCTCCTCTTGCTTCACAGGCAGAGCAAAGGTCAGGGCCTCTGCCAGAGCCTGGAAGATCACTGGGTCAAGTACCCATGGCCCTGACCCCCAGACCCTAGGGACAGGCTCTTTGCAGCCACGGTGTAGTGAGATGCCTGGCTTCCAGACCACCTGGTTCTGTGACTCATTCACCATCTGTTGGCCTTGAGTGAGGCTCTTGGTCTTTTGGAACCTCAGTTTCTCCATCTGTAACATGGGACTGACATCAGTTCTGCCTCCCCAGCAGGGCTGTTAGGAAACACAGAATAAACAGCAAATAGGAAAGCAAGTTGAAGGATTTAAGAGTGCTGCGTAAATTTAGGGGCAGGAGAGGCAGAACCAAAAAAAAAAAAAAAAAAAAAAAAAAAGGAAAATTCCCTAGGACCCAAGAATCACGGTAATCCCCAGATTCTGTCATTGTTATTCAGACCTTTGCTTCTTTGCCTGATCCATTCCTGGGAGAACAAGGCCATCAGGGTTGTTGACATGTCCCGCAGGTCCAGCTTCCACCCACACAGGTGGAATTTTCCACTTCATTCTTTTGCAAATATTAATCAAAGCCCTGGCTGGTCAACAGTGGATTCATTGTCTCGTGAAGAGTGAGCCGTTTCTGGCACATACTGGCTGTCTCCCAGGGACTCTGGTGGTGAGCCTGAGCTGGGAGAGTAGCTGTTAGGAGCACTCCTGGCATCGGTGCTCCCTCAACTCCATATTCTGCTCCAGGTGGTTAAGCTTGGTCAACTTTAATGCCTGCTTTGAGGGAAAGACCCTGAAGCCACACTGAGGGCTTGCACCCCACTGTTCCCAGCAGGGCTACAAAACCGCATTTTCTCTGCTGTAGTAGGAGGGGCTGACCCAGAAAAGCCCACAGACTCAGGCCAGGTGTTAACTCAGCTTTAATCCCACTCGTCCTGGTTCCTAGGAGAAACCCCTTGAAGTCACATACGTGTGTTCTGTTCATGGCTGTGGTCCCTGTGCCTTGTCTCCTGGGTACTTGCATTGATTTTCACATTGTTGTTATCACACTGGGGTCTCAGAGAAAGCCTGGAATGCAGAGGAGGCAGGAACTGTTGTGGTTCTCTCAAAGCTCCATCTGTAAACAGGGGTGATGAAGTTAGCCTCATAGGGCTGCAGGGAGGACCACCCTGTCAACCTACATTGGGCCCTATGTTGGGCACATGCAACAGGATTGGTGGTATATTTTTTGATCCATGATACTTGAATATATTTGTTATTAATAATATTATTGGTCATAGTTGTAGCGTCACATTCCACACTTTATGGAGGAAGAAACAAGATGAGTGAGGCTATGTAAGAAGAGGGAGGATGAAACTCAGGCCATGCTGTGAATTTGATAAAATCACTATGTGGTTTGGTTTTAGCTTTGTGGTTTGTTTTTCTTTTCTTTCCTTTTTTTTTTTTTTTTTGAGACAGAGTGTTGTTCTGTTGCCAAGGCCAGAGTGCAGTGGTACAATCATAGCTCACTGGGTTCAAGCAATCCTCCTGCCTCAGCCTCCCAAGTAGCTGGGACTACAGGTGCACACCAGCACACCACCATGCCTGACTAACTTTTTCTTTCTTTTTTTATTTTTATTGTTTAGAAATGGGGTCTTGCCATGTTATCGAGGCTGATATTGAACTTCTGGCCTCAAGCAATCCTCCTGCTTTGGCCTCCCAAAGTGCTAGGATTACAGGCATGAGCCACTGCACCTGGTCCTTTTAATTATTTGAAATGTATTTTTAGCTCTTGGCCCTCAACAAAACCTATGAAATGAGTGGTTGCGTTTTCATTTCATAGATGAGGAAACTGAGGCCCATGGATGCTAATCACGAGTGGTAGCAGAGTGGAGACTGCAACCTAAGGATTTTGACTACCAGCCACTTTCAGTTCTCTTTCAATGTAGTAAAACTTGAACATGGAACACCAATGCATGCAACCGACACAGGTGACATTGCATATTCATGTGAGTTGAGTTGAGTTTATTTATTTATTTATTTATTTATTTATTTATTTATTATTTATTTTTGAGACAGAGTTTCGCTCCTGTCGCCCAGGCTGGAGTGCAATGGTATGATATCGGCTCACTGCAGCCGCTGCCTTCTGGGTTCAAGTGATTCTCCTGCCTCAGCCTCCTGAGTAGCTGGGACTACAGGCGCCAAACACCACGCCCAGCTAATTTTTGTATTTTCAGTAGAGATGGGGTTTTACCATGTTGGCCAGGCTGGTCTCGAACTCCTGACCTCAGGTGATCCGCCCGCCTCGGTCTCCCAAAGTGCTGGGATTACAGGCGTGAGCCACTGCACCCAGCCTGTGAGTTTATTTTATAACTTTGTATTTGTGATTTGTGTGTGTGTGTGTGTGTGTGTATCATAGTTAGAACAGTGATACCATTTTCAGGAGCACACTAGAAACCTGGGGCCATGGGTGCAGGTTGATGTCTTACACTAGCCCCAGCTCCTGATTTATTTCGGTATTTTAGTGATAGAGTGATTTCCAGTTGATACAAAGAAGCAGTCAGTTTTTCAGACGCTCACCTTGCAATCTGAGGACCCTCTGCGGTTAAACCCATCCAGAAGTTTGAAGGGGAAACAGCAGTGGGCATGTATGTGAAAATTGGCTGGCTAACCATGGCTGGCCAAGCTTTGACCAGCAGGGGCACCCAGCACACAACCTGGACCTTGCAGTGAGCTACGATCCTGCCACTGCACTCCAGCCTGGGCGACAGAGGTGTCTGCTGGAAGTGGCTCTGCTTGTACTGGCGTGGAAGTGTGCCAATGAGCGCAGAAAATCAAACAGGCTTTGCAGCGCCTGTGATGCATTTATAGGAAGTACAGGAGTCGGCACAGCAGACGGTGGGAAGAGAAGCTTTGTCCTGGCGTCTCTGGCCAACCTCCTAAGCTGATGGATTTGGGGTCTCCAGGGGATCCATGTCTGGTCCATAACAGTGCTTCTCAAACTCTCCATGCTGAAAGACTAGATGATTGTTTTTAAAATTTTAATCTTTCATGGGCCAGTTTTTAAAATATGATGAAAATTGTTATAAGAAGATTGAAGATATATAAAAAGATAAGCCCATTATCTGCTCATTAGACTCGACAGACATGAGGTTGCTGTGTCAAATGATAAAACTGTAAACCTTTCTACCCTCTGACTTTTGATTCTGTACTTATCTTTCTCAGACAATCACAAAGAGTGCGTAGGCCAGCCCTGGTCACAGAGTGCTCCGTATCCTGTCACTTCTGCGTGTGAGGTGGGTGTTTTTTTAACTGAGATTTCAAAAAACAAAACGGGTTAAAAGTTTACTTGAAAAAGGAAGCTGGCAATGAGCATTTGCAGAACACCACAAACTTCTGGGGAATCGTTGGAAATCCCTCGCTGTCCACCAGGCTCTGTGCCACAGAAATGCCCCCACCTTTCTGCTTTTCCTCACTTCTCTAGTGGGATCTGAGATTTCAAACAAACAACAACTACAAAAATCCTTTTTATCATGGAAGATTTGAAACCTATATAAAATTAGCCAGAAGAGATGATGGAGACGGGAATTTTGTGTTCTCATCACATAACTTTGTTAGCATCACCTCATGGGGGTCCCGTTTTGTATGTCCCACGAATCGCCGGGGTGACTGTAAGCCAAATCCTAGATAGCTTTTTTTTTTTTTTTTTTGAGACAAGGTCTTTCTCTGTCATCCAGGCTGGGGTACAGTGGCAGGATCATAGCTCATGTAACCTTGAACTCCTGGACTCAAGCAGTCCTCCCACCTCAGCCTTCTAACGAGCTGGGACTATAGGTGTGTGCCACCATGTCCAGCTAATAAAAATTTTTGTAGACATGGGGTTTCAAAATGTTGCCCAACCTGGTCTTGAACTCCTGGCCTCAAGCAATCCTCCCACCTCCACCTCTGCATCCCAAGGTGCTGAGATTAAGGGGTGTGAGCCACCACACCCAGCCTTAAATATTTATCTTTAGAAATAGTTAGAAATAGTTGAATTATTCTCTTCTGGTTATTTTGAAATGTATAATAGATTGTTAACTACAGTCACCATACTGACCTGTCAAATACTAGATCTCATTTCTTCTAACTGTATATTAGATATTTCTTCTATCTAACTGTATATCTTCAACCCCCCATCCTCCCTTCCCTTCCTGAACTCTGATAACTACCCATCTACTCCCTGTCTTCATGAGATCCACTTTTTTAGCTCCTCCACTATGAGTGACAATGTGGTTTTTGACTTTCTGTGCTTGGCTTATTTCATTTAACATAATGACCTCCAGCTCCATCCATGTTGCTGCAAATGACAGGATCTCATTCTTTTTGACAGTTGAATAGTACTCCATTGTGTACATGGATCATATTTTTTAAAAATCTATTTGTCCATTAATGGATACTTAGGTTGATTCCATGTCTTGGCTGTTTGGGAATAGTGCTGCAGTAAACATGAGTGTGCGGATATCTCTTTGATATATTGACTTCATTTCTTCTATATACCCAGCCCAGTAGTGGGATTGTTGGATTATATGGTATTTCTGTTTTTAGTGTTTTGAGGCATCTCCATATTGTTTTTCATAGTGGCTGTACTAATTTACATTCCCACAAACAATGTACAGAGGTCCCTGAAAGGGTGAGGTTAAGCAACATAACCACAGAATCATAGTCACGTCTGACAAATAATGATTTCTTGACATCCTCACATACACACTCAGTGTTCAAATGACTAGGGTCCAGTGAAGAACAGCACATTCTCATGGTTGGCTCTTGCTCCTCTCACAGCCTGTCGGCTTCCCTTTCTCTCTCTCATCTGTCTCTCCTTTATCCATTCTATACTTGGATTTATTGTTGAAGAACCGTGTGGGGTTTCCTTGCGTCTGGATTCTGCTGATGATGGACCTTTGCAAGTTGCTCTGACCTTTGCGTTTCCTGTGAGTTGGTGGATTGATCTAGAAGTGTGATCAGATTCAGGTTTGAACTTTTGGACAAGGATGTTTTGTAGGTGGTGTTGCATTCTCCCATTCAGACCCCTGCCTGGACTGTATGGAGAAGTCGGTCTTTTAATTGCCTCCTGTGTGTGAAGTCACCTTGGTGAGTCCCAGCTGACCCTCACCCATATCTTTATCTCCTTCTGCTGGTCCTGGCTCCCCCTTGTTCTGAGATCACCCTGGCTGCTCTGTGGAGAGCTGGTTCTGGGGTGACCTGAGGAGGCAGCAGTAGTAGCAGGGACACTGCTAGGACGTTGTGGGGAGGGTCCCAGTGGGAGATGATGGGGCCTGATCCAGGTGGTGTCCAAGGGGTGGACAAAAATGGGCGGATTCTGCAGCACCAGCCTCATCCTTATGAGAGAAGCGACTACCCCCTAGGCCTCGGCTTCTGTGTCTGCTTTTCCTCCCCGGATAGTGCATTGTTATATACCAGTCACATGACAAGCGTTTATTGAGTGCCTGCTGCGTACCTGGCTCTGGGGGCTTCCAGCTCTCCCCCACTGCTGTCTGTAAGTGAATGCACATGGTAGGAAGAGCAGCTCTGTGGATGGGCTCTGCCAGGTGGGAACTTGGTAACTCGTGGCCTCTGAAGCCTGCCCTGTGCCTGGCATGAGGAGGAGCCTTCAACTCCCCTGGAGAGGGAACAGCAGTTGTCTTTCTCTTGCTGCTGTGTTACTGCATAAGAGCGGGGACACCAGCGCCTTCTGTCCCCTCGGCCTGCCTCTGGCTGTGCTCTGGCTTACCCACGTCCACCTCCCCACTTTCACCCGAGGCCCTCTATGCCACAGATCCCACTCACCCAGGCACAGTGCAGCCCGGAGTGCAGGGAGTTCACATCTGGAGCGGAGTGGCCAGTCTTCCTCAGGGGCCAGCCTGAGGCACTGCACCCCCTCACCCCCTAGTCTATTAGGTGCTTGACTCTGGGAGGGGCCCCTAAGGGATTCGGGTCTCCCCAGTAGCGACCTCTGTTGCACCCTGCCTCCTACCCATGGCTGGGCACCCGCAGCACCTGCATAGACTGGATCCACAGACACGCCTGCGAGAGAAAGAAATGGTAGGTGACCCCGAGGAGCCGTCCCTGGAGGTTGAGTGGCCTGGGCCCCCGACCCCTGTCTGGGTGTTAGAACTCCAGTTCTTGTAACTGGATGTAAGAATGTTCCAATCTTACATTCTCTCTTTTCTTTTTTTTTTTTTTTTTTTGTGTCGCCCAGGCTGGAGTGCAGTGATGTGATCTTGGCTCATGGCAACTTCTGCCTCCCAGGTTCAAGCGATTCTTTTGCCTCGGCCTTGAGTAGCTGAGACTACAAGGTGCGAGCCACCACACCCGGCTAATTTTTGTATTTTTAGTAGAGATGAGGTTTTGCCATGTTGATCAGGCTCGTCTTGAACTCCTGACCTTAGGTGATCTACCTGCCTCAGCCTCCCAAAGTGCTGGGATTACAGGTGTGAGCCACTGTGCCTGGCCTCCCACCTTACATACACTCTGCTTTTGGTATAGACCACCGTGAAGGTTTTAGAAAGTGGGGAAGCAGCGAGAGAGTGGAGGGAGGGGAGGGCAGAGGCCTGGAATGTGGAGCACAAAGTTTCCAGGCTGAGGAAGCACCCACTGTGGGGCAGCAGAGGGGAGGCAGGAGGGCAGACTCACTTCGGAGGAGCCACAGGCATCGACGGGGCCCACAGAGGCCAGCACCCACGCCTTATCAACAGGAAACCCCTGCCCTGGGTTACACGGTGAGGCCTGGCAGAGCTCTGATGCGATGTCAGACTTCAGGGCTCCACCTCGGGTTTTTTTGGCAGCCTGTAGCCTCAGCCCAGCCCCATCTGCCCCTCTTCACCAGGAGGATCCAGAGGGCAGGTGGGCTATGCCCGAGCAGCCAGGGCACAAGGGGCCAAGTGGTGTGGCCTCGTGCACACTGTCCGATATCATCTCCCAGGTAGCAATTTCCAATTCAGTTGTTAATTGTGTATCAATATGTGGGAGATGAGATTCCTGGGAAGAAAAAGTTGACACTGAAGAAAATGCTTTTTTTTTTTCCTTTTAGAGACAGGATCTTGCTCTGTTGCCCATGCTGGAGTGCAGTGGAACAGTGCTAGCTCACTGCAACCTTGAACTCCTGGGCTCAAGTGATTCTCCTGCCTCAGCCTCCTGAGTAGCTAGGACTACAGGTACACACCACCGTGCCTGGCTAATTAAAAAACAAGTTTTTTTTAGAAAAAATTGCTGGGTCTTGCTATGTTGCCCAGGCTGGTCTTCAACTCCTCAAATGCATCAAGCAATCCTGCCTCAGCCCAGAAGATGCTTTCAAAAAAATTGTTTTAAACTTTTTAATTGAGGTGCAACAGACATACAGTAAAGTGTCCATCGTGTTGGTTTTGATCTGTGTGTATGCCTGGGTAACCATCACCAGGTTTGGATCCAGAACATTCCCAGGGGGTGCCTTCTGTTGGTCCTGGCACAGGTACATGAGCTCAGCATCCACATCTCAGGCTGCCCAGGTTGGGTTTGTTGTTGGCCGCGTGCATCCTCATCCCCTGCATGTGTCTCCTCGGCCAGCATGACGGAGCGCCAGCCTCAGGCCAGGCTCAGCACACAGTGGGAGGCAAGGGCGTGGAGCCCTCAGCCAGGGATGTGGGCCTTCCACAGCTCATCTCACTATTAGCCTGTTGAGGTCCCAGTAAGTGGCACAGAGAAGTCCCAGGATGGATGTGGTCAGTGGTGAGGAGGTCTTCCCAGGGAAATTCATGCCCGAGGGAAAGTGAGGAGTGAATAGGTGAAAGGAGGTTAGGACCTGTACCTGGAGGAGGGAACAAAGGCAAAGGCCCTGAGGAGGAAGGGAAGGTGGACCAGGCACCTGGAGCCCCGGGAGTGAAGCTCACAGTTGGATGATGGCCACAGAGGCAGGGGCCTGGCCTGATCAGGCTTAGCACAAGAGGGCCTGGGGGGCCATGGGGAAGCTTGTCCCACTGTCTTAGGGAGGTGGGGGGCCTGGGTTGGGGGTGGCATGAGATTCCTGTGGGAGGAGGAGCAGCTGCCAAGTGTTGCTCCCTGGACCACCACTGCCTCTGGGCCCAGCCAGGTCTCATTCTCAAACTGAGATCCTTCCCACCCTGGGCCACTGCACTGCACTCCCCTCAGCCCACCACAGGGCTGGGTATTCAGACGGTTGTGCTCCTGGGAGGCTCTGCTGGGCTGTAGGAAAGCAGCCAAGCCTTCTTGGCTTGAGACCTCTGGCATGGGAACTTGGTGTCTTGCACCCTTTTGTGTGCTGACT